CTCAGAGCCTCTCAGTCTGGAGCCAGGGCCTCCTCTAGGTCACAGCGTCACAGCTCAGCTCCCTGAGGTTTGGGCTCAGGTCGCCTCTCCACCACATGCTGGAAAATATCAKGAGTGGGAGTCGGAACGGGGCTGCGATCCCGTCTGGGTGCAGGCCAGTGGTGTAACCTTGGGCAAGCGGTCGCCCTCTGAGCTCGGCTTCCCCATCTGTAAAGCGAGGCTGTTAACACCTCCGTCATGGAGTTGTTACAAGGATTAGATGGGAAAATATTTGTGAAAGAGCTGTGGAGTACAGGCTGCCACACAAATCCTAACCACCAATACAATCTGTCCAAAACCAGAGAACGAATAAGGTCAAGTCCCCTCTCTAAAGGCTGGAAGGTCCACATCCTGCTCCCTGGCAGCTGTGCCCGGCCCCACCYAGTCCTTGTACCTCCAGCTGTTGTCCCATCGGCCAGTCTCCTTTCCTGTCCTTGTCCCTCGGGCTGTGTTTCTAAGAGACCCTCCTACCTTGAAAGACTCCCTCTCTCACCTTCACCTGTCCACATCCATCTCCTTCAATGCCCAACTCCCATCCTATCTCTTCCAGAAAAGTCTTTCCTCTGACAAAGGGGGTGGGATTAAAGCCAGATGACCCCCTTCTCTCAACTGACCCCTACAGCCCCATGCCAAAGTTAAAGGCAGGGCTGRGCATATCTTGGTGAKTAATAATAATGACAACAATAATAATTTATCATATTTAATAATAAAAGTAACAAACACATTGGAAGCCCTTGCTCAGTGCCAGGCTCTGGGCTAAGCTCTTGACACATTTTAAATCACTTAACAGAGTGCAGGGGGCCCTCTGGGATTGAACAGGTACCTGCCTCTCCACCTCTAGACCCCAGCCCAAGCATCACTTCCTTGATAGACCCTTCCCTGGGAGCCCTAGGCAGAATTAATATTGCTGCCTCCATGCCCACAGTTGACCTAATTTTGCTAGCTTTTAATTATTTATCAAAGTGGTTTTCTCCCATTCCAGGCAGTGAACATCTTGAGGGCTAGGAACCTGGTATATTAATCGTTATTAGCCTTGGTGTCCAACAGTGACTGGCACATAGTTGCTGCTCATTAAACGTTTATTGAATGAGTGGAGTAATTAACACCATATCCCCCAAGGATCATGGGATTTTAAAAGCTGCTCCCTTCATGGGATCATTTTCCTGGCTTCATACATCCAGAGCAGTGCTACCGTGGGCATGATCTGCAGACTGGCACTTGCCTGCAAACTCTATTGTCGATCTGTGATGAAGTAAGTGCAGAAATTGRGAGGGAACATTTAGAAAATTTAAAGTAATCTGATAAAGTAGTTTTAGGCCCACTGAATCTACAGGTTTTTAAAATTGGGCTTTTATTCTGTATGTCTTTATTTTTTAATTCATTTCCTAATAGTTCAYTCCTCCTGCATTTTGCAGTTGTATCAGCTGAAAGGGGTGAGAAATTTAGAAATAAAGAACCTGTTGTTACTGCCCGTGGCCTGAGAAATGCTGTTGTCCCATACTGTCCATCTTCACAGGGCCCTCGGAACCCCTCAGGCGGGAAGCATCGACAGGGTCCTTCTCCCTGGATCCCTTCATCATTTGTTCTCACATCTGTCTTGCCTATTGYTCAGAAGGGCATGTGATTGGCTTTTATTGCTGTTTGGATTCCTCGTATCTCTCTTTCTTCCAAAATGGCAGGTTAAAAGAATGAAAGGTGATTCTGGTCTGGGTCTAGGCAGGAAGAGGAGAGGGCAGGAGAGAGATCAACTGGAGGAGAGTTTGGGAAAGGTCAGTCTGGGAAAGAATACTCAAAGGGAGCTGAAGTCTGTCCTGAAGGCAGTGAGGAGAGGCTGCCCACAGAGACCAGCCTGAGCCCTCAGGCTGCAGGGGCTAGAGTGGCTGGGCAGAGAGGGGAGGAGGGCATTCCAGGGCAAGAAGGGGGGCCAGCGTAGACACCCGCATCTTCAGTAGGCAGAGCAGATTGGAGCCAGGCTCTTGAAGGTGAAAGGAAGCCTTTCCCAGGCAAATGAAAGGGGATATGGAACCTTTTACAGAAGGCTGTTTAACAGGAGCTCCTTCTAACCCCGCTGCAGCTGTCAAGGCCAGAACTATAAATAAGTAAGTCACGGAAAGAGGCTGAAGCCCCCTACCCCCATCTGGGGGGCAGATGGAGGGTAAATCAGGGAAATAACATACCAGGGGAAATGTACTAGCTATAGATGCCACTTCAGGAAGAGAGAAGGTCTTCTACCCAGCCTAAAAAGGCAGGAAGAGCAAGACTTGATTACAAAGAATCGATGGCATTAGCATATTTAAAGATCATGTCAAGGGGAGAAGGATGGGCTCAGAGAGGCAAAAGTTAATGGTGTTTATTAAACAAAGGGAACCAGAATCTCAGAGAAGTGCAGAAACTGGAGCTGTCTGGTCTCTGGAGCACATGCTCCAAGGTGAGTGGGGAACAGGCCTCTGCAGGACTGATGACCAGCCAGCCTCCTCCAATCCCACAGTCCACTGCTTCTGGGGCCTTCCAATGGAGAAATTTGCTTCTCACAAACATTGCCTAGAAGAGAGACCAAGCCACCAACATAGGAGCACCTGGTTCACTCCATCTTGATGACAGCTAGGTGACTACAGTTAACCATCATGAAGCTATTGCTATGTGCCAGGCATTGCACCAAGTCCTTTACAAATAAGTCATTATGCCCTAGCAGGTAGATGTTCTTGGGCTCGCTTTATAGATAGGAACATTTTTCAGGGTTAAGCTTGTAAGTGTAAGAATCAAGACTCAAGCCCATGCTGCCTGACTCCAGAACCAGATGCCAAACTACCCTGCATTCTGCCTTTCCTTCTTTCTTTCTTTTCTGATTCTTGGAATTGAACCCAGGGGTGATCTACTACTAAGTCACACACCCAGCCCTTTATATTTTTTATTCTGAGAATGGTCTCACTAAGTTGTCCAGGCTAGCCTTGAACTTGAAATACGCCTGCCTCCAACTCCAGAGTCCTGGGATTACAGACACGGGCCACTGTGTCTGTCTGCCCTGAACTTAATTTTCATTGAGAATAGTAAATTGGCCATTTAGTTGGTCTGTCAGTCTCTTCTGGGTTGATTGACCAGCTCTGAGGCCCTAAGCAAATTGGGTTTTGCAAGGCTCAGAACTATGTGCTCCATCTAAATTCTGACATCAATTTGGCTAAGCCAATGTGACCAGTTGGCTTCCTGGTCAATGACCTCTCACTTCAATGCCCTCTCACTTCAAAACTCTTTTAGGGCCCAGACCTCCAAGCACTTTGAGGTGGGAATCAGGAAAGGGAAGACTAGGCTTATCATCTATGGGGCTTTGGACAGGACACACCTCTGTGTGTCTCAGTTTCCTCACCAGTAAAATGTGTGTTGGATAACACGACTGCCTGCAAAATCTCCAGCTCCAAATAAGGATCATTTGGACCCATGAATGCACTGGCTCTTGCTCAAAGTGCCAAGATGGGGGTGGAAGGGAGGAGGCGGGGGCCTGGTAAGATGAGGAATCCAGGGCAGCCAGGCTGTTTGATTTCAAAACCAGCTGGCCGCCACTCTGGGACCAGGTTTCTCCCAAGGTGCCTCTACATTTTCTGGGGGCGGCTGCCATTGTCGCTGGGACCTACGCTTTGCGGGGTAGAGTGAAGATTTCCCAGGGCCTCTTCTTGTCCGTTTGCAGATCTGGCTCAGGAAGAAAGAGGGGGAAGAAAGTCAAAAATTCTATCCACCTAGAAGGAATGGAGAAGGCAGGACCTGCTTCTCAGAGCTGGGGTGAGCCAAATCAGACGAAGACCCCAAGATCTGGCGGGACTGCTGACCCTGACCCTGAGGATTCGGCCGAGAGGGGGCGCTGTGGCCTCCTCCACGCCCAGCCGACTGGATTCCCAGCTGCATTCCCAGCGTTGCAGCACATTGCGCGCCGGCTTCCCCCTGGCAGCTTTTGGGTGCCAGCTAGTCCTGCACCGCAGGACATCTTCCCTTTATTTTGAGGTGCTGCCCCTTGTCTGGACCAAACTGAGCAGTTATTTAGTTTGTAAAATGAACGAACGAATAAATGAATAAGGGCTCCTTCCGCAGAGCTCTCCTGTCTCAGTAGGCACCAGGCGTGTCAATGCCAAAGGTGCTGGGAGTCCAGCCCAACGCCCCTGCTCAGCTTAACTCGGGGCGGCGGTGACCTTCTGACCGGTTGCAAGGCGGGAACTGCCCAAACGCAGTTTCCAGGTTCATCTGGTTTCCGCAGCGGCTTAGCTCAATCGAGCTCGCCCTGTCCCCCAATCCCCAATGGCCTTGCTCTCATAAATTCACCTGAGTCTCCCAGTCCCCCCCCCCGCCCGCCCCCGAGAGATCCCTTGGACTCCCCTAGTCCCGACCTCCAGCAGGGCGGGAGGCAGAAGGCCGGAGCTGCCTCCTTCTCCCGCCGCCTCCTTCTCCAGCCTGTGCGGCGGCCACCACCACTGCCAGTACACCTCACCGACTGCCGCAAACCGGGGTGCAAGGCAAGGTGGTCAGCGGGGCGAAGGCTCAGGGAGCCGGCCGGTGGGAGGGCGGGGAACCCAAGAGGCGGAGAGGGCGGAGGGAGCGGGGGGGGGGCGAGGCGCGGAGGAGGGACCGAAGGGAGGGGRAGGGAGAAAGAGGAGGGGACGCGCGCGGCGAGGGGGCGGGGAGCCAAGGCGAGGAGCAGGCGGACAGCGAGGGAGGCGGGCTCCGGGCGGGCGAGAGACGCCGGCCGGGGCTGAATCGGAAAACGGCGGCCGGACTTGCCCGGGAAGGACAAACGAAAGCCCGCCGGGCCGGACCGGGCCGGGCCGGGCCGGGCCGGGCCGGGCTGGGCTGCTGGGCTGGGGAGCGCTCAGCTCGGTACCTCGGTGCCTGGTAGCGACCGAGGAGCCCAGCCGCCCACTCTGCGTCGCCGGAGTCTGCCACCGCCGGGCGGCCCCTCTGGGATGTCCGAGGGACCCAGGCATCCAGGACGGTAAGGGAGCGAGGATGGGACGGCGCCCGCAGCTCCGGCTCGTCAAGGTGAGAGCGAGCGGGTCAGCCTGGATCGCCGGCGCCGCCAGCCCCTGGCCAGCGCGGGACAGGCGTGGGCTGCGGGTGGGGTGGGGGAGGGGCGCTGGGGAGAGCAGGGCACAGGTCCAGGGAGGCTGGGGCAGCCTAACTCCTTCTCCACGAACCTTTGCAGCCAGGCTTGGGTGGGTAGAGGAAGAACTCCGGGGGGAAAAGAAACCGTGTGGCCAAGCGCCGGGATGTTGGCGGAGGAGGGGTCCGCCCACCCGGGGAAGCCGCTCTGTGCCGAGATCGCCGCAGACTTTGGGGCCAAAGCTTGATTCCACCTCCCACTCCTCCCATGCAAACCCCAGCCCCGGCACTGGAGGCTCTGGAGGTGCGTATCCCTCTTCATCCCAGCACCCTCTTGGCCGCCCCGGGTCCTGGTCCTGGGCACTTTTTCCTGACCGGTCCCTCCGCGAAAGCCCCCAAGTCCAACAGGGTAACAGTCGCCTGCACGACTGGAGCCCTTGATTAATATCGCAGCCTCCGATGGAGCCGGTGCGCGGATCCTCGGGGTACCGCAGCCCCGGCGCGCAATGTTGGCTCTCCAGCCCGCCGTGCCGCTCGCGGTTTCGGCGCTGGGAGTTTAGGAAAGTCGCCAAACGGTGAATGCAGCATCCGCTGGATGAAGTTCGGGGGCGGCGAGGGGCTGTCCGCGAGTGGTGGAGCCCTGGAAAGGACTAGGCTCTAGTGACAGCCGCCACTTGCCGGCGCCGAGCGCATCCCCGAGCGCTGGGCTTGCTGGTGGCAGACACGTTAGCGGTTGGCTGCSGAGAAGGTGGGCGTGTGGGTGGGTGGACCTCCTCCCAGCCGCTGGGCAGCTCCGCTGGCGACTCACCCGACTCACCAGGGGTCGCCTCGCGCGGGTCTCAGGACTCCGCAGGGTCGGCGTGGACTGCCTGGGCCACAAACACAGACATCACAGCGGCTGAGTTCAGGGTATTCCAAAGCGACTCCAAAGACTTGAGTGGATTTGAGGGAGGGTTATGGATTGACAATTTTCTTTTCCATCGTTATCCACCAGCTGTGCAGTTTACCTGCTCACATAGCGGTTTGAGTTAAAACCATCAAGATTTAAAAATGCAACCTCTGTGGGTTCATCCGTTGTGACCATAAGTTACCGAGGCTTTCACCGCCTTCTCTCCTAGCCAAATATTTACAAGCTATTTTTTAAAATAAATGAGGATTGGTCTCACTGAACACACATCACCTCCTCTACCCAATACGTGAAGGCTGAACCCAAGATTATTTTCTAGGTGATGGGGATACCGTCAAAGGAAGTAGGAAGAAAAACATCCACGGAGATTGAATAGATGGCACTGAGTGGGATATTTTCCCAAAGCCTCCTGTGTCTGGAGGCTTAGTCTAAATTCACAAATCAGAATCCAATGTTTTAAATGGATTCTAAGGATTGAATAGTGGGTATTTTTTTTTCAAGTTTACATGGAAATAGAGAAATGTTCTTTTTCAGGCCTTTCTTAGAATTGTGTGCAAATTTCTGTTTAAAATGATCACATTTTCTTAAAAGAAAGTCTTTCTCCCTTCCCCCCTTTCTTTCTTTTTCTTTTTTTTGTGGTGTGTATGTTGTTCCCACTAGATGGTGGGTTGTGTGCCCCTGATGTCTGGCCTGATGGACTCAGTAGGTACCCAATAAATAGGGAATGAATGAGCAGCAACGAGTGCATGGAGTGCTTATGTATAGCATGTTCAAATTTCTGGGAATCCATCTAGCTGCTTTGTAAATATTAAGTCATTTCATCCTCATAACAGCACCAGGAACTCGGAATTCTACCTGAGGCACAGAGAGGCTAAGTAACTTGTTCAAGGTCACAGAGCTGTGAGGGACTGAGTGGCAGAGCCAGAATTTATACCCATGCATTCGGACCAAAGGCTTTGTTTTGTTAGCTCTTACCAGTAAATATTCTAAGCCACTTAAATCACGCTCTGAACCTGTGCCAGAGGCAAAAGCAGGTAGTTTGGACTGTTTGAATATCTGAATCTAGGGGATTTAGGATTAATCGCAAATCCAGCTCTGTTCCCAACAAGTCAGCCAGTGTTGGGAAGGGATCCACTCTGGGGCCTGTAGAGTGGGCTTCACACTGTACAGGTGTGAAGAGCATGAGGGAAAGTGTATGTGACAGGTGGAGTATGTGTGCACATGTATGTGTGCACATGTATGTGTGCACATGTACATGCATGTTCATGGGTGAGGAGGAGACAGAGGAGATACTGTCCCAACCCCCAGGGAGAGATGGCGTGAGCACCTCCATGGCAGCCACCCGCCAACTGCCACTCTTCCTGAGATACATCTGTGTTCTGGTGACAGGTGACCACGATGAGTGGAGAAGGCCCAGGCCTAGCTGGGCTCTTAAAGGAGAGAGAATGCCGAGGAGGCTGCGGGTTTTATTGCTGTCCTTATTATAAAAGCAACTTAACGGCATTAGGCAAAGTTTGGAAGCCGCAGGGGGGAATTACTGCGCCCTCACTCTCCTAATAATAGCTGCTGTTACATTATAGAAATGATTCTAGTGGTTCCTCTTCTCAAGCACAGGTTTGGGCACAGCTGTGGCTGTGGGGCGGCCCTCTCACTGCTGTATCAGCCCAAGTCTGTCCGCTATAGTTCCTGAGCCTTTAGAGGGAGACTGTTCATGCCTGTGTATGGCCCGTGAGTGGACGTGCTTTGCCATGCTGCACGGGTGCCTGTTTGGGCCATTTTCAAGTTATTTCTTGGCTTACATGGTGTGGAGCCAGGTCTCCAAGCGGACTGCAGGAGGCTTGCGTAGGCAAAAGGTGCTGGGGGTGGACTTGGGCTGCTGTAGGGTGTGGGACAACTGGCCTGGCCACAGACTGGGAGCAAAGTTGGGAAGGGGCCCAAAAGCAAGACCAAGCCCTTCTGATGTGACATGACCAGCCCTAGGGAGGGACACACAGTGCTCAGGGAGCGTATAGATGCTGACCCAGAGCCGGGGAGGATGAGCTCAGTGGAAGGGCCAGGTCTCACCCTCGCTATCATGTGGCTCCTTGGAGAGGAGCAGCAGCCAGCTGAGGTCAGCCACACTGAGGAGCTTGGGTCAGAGGTACCCTTTGGCACCACCCAAGTGCCCATGATTCTTGCCAAACCCAGGAACCTGAGCTCCGGGCGCGGTGTGGACTAGAAGGAAGGGTTAGGAGCAGGCTGAGGATTTCAACAGCTAGAGGAATGGAAAGACCATTACGCTGGGAGCCAGCAAAGCAGACTTTGGTTCCAGCCCCGCCTCCAACTGACTGTGTGACTTTTAGGTAGGTCATCTTCCTCTCTGAGCTGAAGTTTCTCTATAAACAGGGATTTCGAGCAAGACGCCCTGTTCACATCACTCCCTTTCACATCTCTGTGAAAGGTCTGTGTTTCCAAACACCCCTTAGGGCTGTGACCTCCCATGGCAAGAGCCATGGGCAGCTGATTCCATTCCCATCTCTGCCTCCTCCCAGCCAAGGGAGCTTGGTGCATGGTACTTGGACCTAAGTGCTCTTTCTGAGTCTCTCCTACTGTCATTCCCACTTCCCAGCACTGGGCCTGGTGATGGACCCTGGGACCATTTGACTCAGTAATCATAGAAATGCAATCAAGCCAGGCGAGCAAACATGTCGGCAAAGCTTTTATTGGGGCTTCCATTTAGGAACGGAGCCAGCTCTGGCAAGAAGACATCAGGCCAGCTCCCCGGACGGAAGGAGGATCCTGTTTTCTTGGTTAGTTGCAGGGGCAGGAATATTCATTGTGCTCAACTCAAGCATTTTTCCCTGGGCTAAAAGATAAGTCACTGCAGCTGTCGATAAGCACATACCCAGGGTACCCCGAAATCAACGATGCAAAGCTGACATTGGTTGAGGGTGACACACACCAAGTCCCCTGGGGCTGCTGTCAGGCCATGAGCCAAAGATCAGAAGTTCCTTTGTTCCTATGGTGGTCTTTGTCTTGGGCCTAAAGATTTATTGCACATAGTAGGGTTTAAGAAACATTTGTGGACTGGACAGATGAGTTTTATTGTTACTTCCTCCATTTAATATTGTGTAATTGGAGCAAACCTATCACTGTCCCCACAGGATATGGATGTCACGTCAAAATTGAGAAAGCTGAGAGGTGCTTAAACCACCCTAGCAGAAAAGCAATCTCTAACGCAGAAAAGACTAGAACTCCCCCTTAAGCCCACTGTGGTTATTAAAAATGAAAAAAGAAAGCAACAAACAACCAGTTCAGCACCCCCAGTGATTTGGAGTCGCCCGTGAGGGTGGATCTGCAGTCCTGAAGCTCCAGCCTTTCGCTGGGTGTGGGGAAGGGCAGGTTGGCAGGAGGTAGTCTGGGCCTTTCTAGCTCTCTGCTCAGTGAAAAGAGGGCTGGGGTGATGTCTCCCCCCCCTCCCTCCTAGCCATTCACAGTCTCAGCAAAAGGGAAGGTGAGCCCATTTGGGAGGTGAGGCCAAGTGGAGATTTTAGCTGCAATTTTATAGTCAAAGAATGAATTTGTTAATTATAAATGAAGTTCCTATCAGTAATACTCCTCTTGCCAGGCACAGTGATGTAGACTTGTAATCCTAGAGACTTGGGAGGCTGAGGCAGAAGGATTACAAGTTCAAGGCCAGCCTCAGCAATTTAGTGAGACCTGTGTCAAAATTAAAAACAGAAAGGTCTGGGAATGTAGCTCGGTGATAAAACATCCCTGGTTCAAGCCTCAGTACCCAAAAAAGGAGAAACCTACAGGGAGGCTAATGAGAAACGATGAGTTCACTGATGTGAACGATCATTTTGAAGACAACTATCTGGAGTCCGATGGCCACTGATGGTCAACCACTTGTTTTCAGAGTAAGTGGGGTCTGCTCCAACACAGTGGAAAGGCAGGCAGGGAGGGACGCAGAGGCGGCAGACTGTGTCAGTGTGGACAAGTGCTTCCTTTTCTGTGAAAGGGGCGTGGCAGGGTTTTGTTCTGGGAGAGGGGT